CTTATTAGTAAGCTGGAACATTACGGTGTAAATGGCAAGGCGTCGAAACTTATCTCGTCATATCTCAACGGTAGAATTCAGAAAGTAGGCATAAATGGAGCGACTTCTTTGGGTTCTCCAGTAAAAATGGGTGTTCCGCAGGGCTCAATACTTGGACCTTTCTTATTTCTGATTTATATTAATGATCTGCCATTCTTTATTAAGGACCATTGCGAAATAGTGTTGTTTGCTGATGACACATCCTTGATTTTTAAAACAGACAGACATGACATTAACTATGACCGTATTAATGATACCCTCTCTAACGTAGTTTATTGGTTTAATGCTAACAATTTATTGCTTAATGCCAAGAAGACAAAATGTGTTAAATTTGAATTACCTAACGTAAAATCGACTAGTCCAAGCATAGAAATAAACGGAGAAAAGTTAGACCTTGTTAATAAAGCAGTCTTCTTGGGAGTGACCTTAGATAGTAAACTTCAGTGGTTTCCACATATATCGTCCCTGGCCAGCAGACTAAGCTCCGCTGCATACGCAGTCCGCAGAATACGTGAGCTTACCGATGTTAGTACTGCTAGACTAGTTTACTTTAGTTACTTCCATAGTATAATGTCCTACGGGATTCTCATGTGGGGTAAAGCGGCAGATATTCAAACCATATTTGTATTGCAAAAACGAGCGATTCGTTCTGTGTACCGTCTAGGCTCTCGGGTATCTCTCAGAGAAAAGTTTAAGGAGACTGGTATCATGACTGTGGCATCACAGTACATTTACTCAAATATTTTATATGCCCGTAAAAATATACATAATTTCAATAAGAAAGAAGATATCCATAATATTAACCTTAGAGCTAAGTCCAAACTCATGGTACCACGACTTCGTTTAACCAAGGTAAACAACTCTTTTATGGGGAACTGTATACGTTTTTACAATAAGATTCCGGAGCATATATTAAGTTTATCATTTCCTAAGTTTAAAAACTACATTAAAAATATTTTGATCGAAAAATCATATTACAAAATTGAAGACTACGTGTTAGATAAAGATGTATGGAAAGACGACATGGCTCCAGAATCCACACAAATTTGATTCAAAGTGTATTCCATAGCATTTAAGTTTATTTGAAAAGAGCAATCCCTAGAGTTTCTTGCTCGTTCTTCTCAGGGAGGTCAGCGTAGTGAACGAGCAGTAGCTTAAATGTGACGTTTTCAAGTGTAAATTTATTTTACCTATGGAATAAATAATCTTTGACTTTGACTTTGACTTTGACTCTGCGTGGCAGTCCGGTACGGTAACCGTTCGGCCACGGAGGCAGTTAAATTTCATCCTGTTTCACGTGTTTCACCACTATGTTTTTCGTCACCTTTAACAAGAGGTATGGCCACTGAACATTTATAAAAGTAACATTATGGACATGAAAATTTAACCCTACTATGGTCGAACTCTTGCGCTGAACATAAGCAGCCGCGTGCGGTCTGTGAGACCGCAACTTTCAGCGTCTAGTCTCAAAAGGCTAACTGAATATTTTCATGACGACATTGTGTAGCATATAATAAAAAGAAATCTTTTATCTATATAAATGAAAATATAAACTTATTATATTTTTAATACGTACTTATTAGTTTAACAGTGTACAAAAATACAAAATTTTAATAATATGACAAAAAACAACGTTAAAAACCAACAAAATAACAAAGCAAGACGAAATATTCTATCTTAATCGTTAATAGGCACAGTATTTAAATTATTATCGCGATCAATCAAAATTATAATAATAATACATAATTTTTTTGGAACACGACCGGTCGTGTGCGGAATTTGAGACAGCAAACACAAATAAAGACACATGTGCGCTTGCGACGAATGTCACAGGGCTACTAAAGGGATGGACCTCACCCCCTCGAGGGTCTCACAACAGTCTATTGCTTATAGTTTTTGTTAAATTACCAAAATAAGGTCGCTGCGGTCTTTGAGATCGCGCGCGACCGCTGGAAATTTTAAATCATAGTAACATGCCACAACAGAGACTCAAAGCGTCGATCTCTGCATTAAGAGGGAGCAGAGGAAAAATTTCTAATCTTTGATTTGATTTTAGAGGGGTATATCCACTTTAAAGTTAAAAATAAAATATTGTATGAGTAACTACACGATATATTCAAGCATAGACACTAATCAGAAACATAAAACAATAAAGTTTCCTCGATAGATAAAAATCACGAAATGACCTCTAATTTTCACATTTTTTCGATTCATCCTCGAAATGCTACAAGTTATTAGGACAAAAATTAGATAATTAATTATATTTATGCATGACCGAGAACTGTCACTACGGATTTTTTTTAATCCCTTTAGTTTTAGAGTTATTCCGCTAAAACGAATTTGGTACTTTTAATGCGCAAAATTCAACATCTCCTGTCGCATGTCACGCGAACTTCAGGCATATATTTGTCTCACAAATGTGGGCGGAGCCAACGTCAAAACTTTTTTGGCATGCTCCCTCTTAAGAACCGTTCTTCCACTGAGCTATCACCGCACTACACTGCTTCGTTACATTAAAGCTTTTGAAATGACAAACTTTTCAAATGTGATTTTGCTGACTGAGATCATTATTTTTGAAAATTATTTGCACAACGACACGAACGAGCTTTTATTCATTTAAGCTGAACAAAGGGAATTACGGATTAATCAAATTTATGGTTTACTTTCAAGGTTTGAGGTCTGATTTTAATTAGAATTTGGTGTGGTTTAAAAACAAAGGAAAGTATAATCAGCTTTAGTAATACCAAAGGTGGTTTTAAAATTGTAGGTAAATAATTAATAGAGAAGAATAGACATTAAGAAAATTGTTCTTTTTATCCGACTTGAAAAAAGGAGGAGGTTCTCAATTTGATTGTATTTTTTGTGTATATGTTATGCGATTACGCATTGGTGGATCGATTTTGACGATTTTTTTTGTTCGAAAGAGGGAAGGTACCCAAGTATTGGTCCCATTTTGAATCCGGTTTCGCACACTTTCCGGTAATAGATTTCAATAAAACTATATAATTATGTCTATTTGCCAAATAGATATAATTCCACGAGCTACTGAGGCCGGTTTCTTTTATAAAAAAGTTATAATTAAATGATATCAAGTGACGGAACGAACAAGTTGTGCACCTGTATGCAATACGTCTATCGATAACAGTTGCAGTGCAACTCAGAGCTACAAATCGTTAAACGATAATGCACCCGTCACCCTGAGACATAAGGTTAACAAGTTCCATGTGCCTGTAATTTCACCAGCACCCTTACCCTTCCAAACCGGCACGCAGTAATGTTCACATTTCTGCTTTGCGGCAGAAATACGTCTGACGGCAGTACGTGTAGTAGGGTGACTACGTTTTCCTTTAGAAGGCTAATTTTATTCTTTGGTGGAAATAACTGCCTACCTCATGGTCACCAGAGGCTTCAACGTAACGAAAACCCCTCTGACCTACAGGGACACTCGTAGAAGGCAAATACATAAATATACACAAAGAGATATCGTGCCTTTTGCCCAATTGAAGGAAAATGTAATTCTGAATTCATATTTTACACTCTTAAGATGCATGTAGTAAGTATCATTTTTAGTTTCTTATTTTAATACAACAAATTCTCCTTACAAGCCTTGGGAAGCTTGGACGTGGTAAATTTTCTTGTCTCAACAATATGTTAATAATAATATGGATAGCAGCTATACCAATTACATAGTTTTGTAGTTTTATAGTTTTAGGGTACATATCCGAAATTACTGTTGTCGGAGGAGAGGAATGGTTTTCAATTTATCGATAGTACTTTTGGAATAATAGCCCTGCACTAGGGAAACCCTGTATAAAAGGTGCCATACATTATTTTTCCATATTATAGAGCGGTAGTATTAGGTATTGCTCTTTGGTTGCCGATATTCTTTCTTAAGTATCGGAATAAAATCTCCGTTATTTTTTATTCCGGAAGTTCAAACTCCCCAACAAAGATACGAAGAAATTTAAAAACGATCTCAACTTAAAATTCAAGTTTCATCGCCTTTCGACCAAAGAATTCTTTGTTTATTATAAATGAAATAAAAACAGCCCTAACGGTGAGGTCAAAACGATATTTTATGACATGAATTTTAAATAACATTTTTATATTCACAGTGACTTAAGTGGCAGATCGGTTAGCTCTGTGGTTACTTTATATAGAGGTCTCGGTCCCATTCGATACACGGAAGCACAAGTTTGGGAAATAAATTTATCTAAATTTGTTCTATTTTGGGAGTTCTGGGTAATGCCCCTAGAGCAATGATCTTATATACAAAAAAAGGCAGATGTGGTAATGGCGTCCGCAAAGTGAAGATTCGTCTTACCTATTTCTGCAGCGATGCAGTAATATGAGCATTACTGCGTTCTGGTTTGGAAGGGTAAGGGTGCTGGTGAAACTACATGCACATGGGACTTATCAGCTTTATATTTCAGGGTGTACAGGCGTGTCGCTTACCACCAGGCGGACGACTTTTCGTCCCACCACTATGGTATTAGAAAAAAAAATTAAAAATTTGGTCATAAAAAATGTTCCATTTAAAATCAATAACTGTCAAAACGAGGTTATTAATTAAACTCGCCTTTTGTAGTTTGCTTCGTGAACATCTTCGAAATCATAACTCTGGCACATAGCACATTATGTTAATAAATGTTTGTTTGTAGATTTGTTCTACATCCGATTGCGATAAAACTTTAGTGAGTTGTTGTGTCCACACTCGTAAAACTCTCTGAACCGTTTTAAAAATCAGCCAGCCATCATCATTGAGCATTTGAGTCTACAAATAACCGAAAAGACTTTTTTGCAGATCCACTTCTCCACTAGGTATGTACGTGACTTTCTTTTGATTCAACGTCTCTATCTATCTCTCTCACCTTTTGCCGAAGAGTAGTTCTTTTGCAGATGATTTACAGTACAGCTAGTTTTAAATAAAATGCAATTACCAATGGGTCTAAGAAACTTACTTATATGAAAATTTTGGATGCTGTGGCGGGCCCGCCCAAACGGTGGGCCCGCACGAACTCTCCTTCTTACGCCCCCGCCTGATGTGGGTTGGTACTGCACCTGGAATTGAGTACAATGTTTGGTCAGTAAATAAGTATATAATAAACGTAAAATTAAACATAACAACTTATTGAACATTTATTTAAACATTTACTAATCAAAGTAAAAACACAATTGAGTTCAAAATCGAGTCAACTTGAAGTTAATAACATTATTTCACAAGAAATAAAGTTCAAAGGGGATTTATGTAACCGTTCGTCGTCGGTTTCAATAAATGCTACGGCGTAGTATCCTTGGCTACACAAAGGCTACGTGAAGTGCCGTAGCCTTTTCGTAGCAATTTGTCGTTTTATACTGTAGCTGGGAAAATGTTATTCAATTATATTTGTTTCTCTTTTATGTTTTATTTATATATTTTTTTGGTTATTTTTGTTAGCTTTTATTATTTTTAGAATCGAATAATTCTTACAATTTGCTTTGTTGAAGCTTCTGGTGACCGGCCTGGCAGCTACTTTTGCCAGAATTAGAAATGTAACAAGCTTCCTACGAGGAAGCGCCCTCGAGCATTGTGCGTAGGAAGTATGGGCCGCTGCCCATGACGACGTTCTTTACATTGCACAAGGTCAATTATACCTTGAACCAAGAACTCAAAATATCTGCTAATCGCGATACAAGGCAGCGTAATCGGATCATCTACCCTACCTACATTTTATCTCGTAAATTGCAAAATTTTGAATATCAACTGGCATTTATAAATTAAGTACCTATATTTAAAAAAAACATAGAACTTTTCACATTACTATAGTAATAGAGATCAAGGATGTATAAAACAAAAAGATTTCCAACAATAGAACCTGACTGTGTGATACTTTATACTTCACAATATACTTGCATATTTTAATTACATAATGTAAGCTTGTTCATTTCAGCACGTTCTAAAAAAATGGTCCTTCGAGCCGGAAAACAAACAAAAGTCTCGGCTCACTTTTCAAATGTTTTTCTAGAACAATAAGCATTTTAAAGTAAAGAACATTCATGCTCTAGTGGTTGTGTGTACCTTTTTGTCGTCTATCTGCTTCCGCAGCCTGGAGTGCCTGGCGACCCGCCAGTTGCACAATATGGTTTAAGTTACTAGAGAATTAAATACAGTTTTAAATACTTTTTTAACGTTTAAAGAGGCCTCATACGCGGCGCCGTAACTCGTTAGGTATTTAGAGTTTGACGTTTATTCAAATGATATGGTTCAGGGGTTTAATATAACTTTTTCATATAAGGAATTTACCATTCCTCCTTTGGGCATGATTTAAAAAATTAACATGATTTTGTCTCGAATATTGTAAAAGAAAGACGTCAACCAAGTGTAAGGTTGACTTTTTTTGCTTTTACTTATTAAACTTAGCACATTTTGTTTTTTAAACTTGTTATGTAAATGACGAAAATCTTTGATAAATATTTAGAACGATACATCTGCTCTTTGCAGTTTATTTATTGCAGGTTGAATTACCAGTTGTTATGTAAGGAAAGTTTATTTTCTTGGGCTCAACTGACAATGCTAAGTGGTGAAAAAAAAATGTCTATTCCTTCTAGCCTTGAATAGCCCCAAATTGCACTTTTCGGGAAACTCAGATTTCACGTACACGTAGAGTGTTACATTCCTTTGTAGTACGCAGAAAGGAGGAAGCAAAGCGCTTAGTATGAATGGGTGGTATACCAACGACATAAGGATGGAGTGTTCCGGACCTTCTAGTCGACTGAAGGAGAAACGGTGAGGGTGGAATCAAATTGAAAAGTTCCTGACTTATGAATAGTCTATGGTTGCGTAGTACTGTATGTAAAAAAACGCACACATTCAACATAAAAAAACGCTTCATTCATCAAAAAAACATTCGGTTCATTCAATTAAAGTTTTTGTAATCGATTGGTAAATCGAAAATTTCAGTCGCAATCGAACGAGTATCTCAGTAATAATAATAATAATTTGTAGTTGGCAGTAAAATTGGGCATCACTAAACCGTTTATGGTCGGGTAAGGGACTTGTTGTTCCTCTTGGCCCATACTTCAAGAAAAAAATGTTTACGAAATCTGGGTCTTAACTTTGTTTGTCCTTGACCACGACCAAAATCTAAGTATTTTCGACACATCAATCTATGGTGAGGTTGTGCGGCACATTATTATTATTAATGAGGTTCCCGTGTCATGCTGTTCAAAATGATGAATGAAGCCTACATTTCATAAATGTGTGGTACAGTTCTAACGACTTTTATTAAAATAAACAAGGCACCGCCGCTAGATGGCGTTGTACCACTTTCGTGTGTTTACGTGTTAAGATTCAACATAACGGATTTTGCCATTGTAATAGACCCCTGTTATGTGGTGACACATTTGGGTCACTGTACATAAAGTTCTTTCTACTCATCGAATATAATGTACTTGATGTTTGTACCATACGTTAGAGTAAATTCATTCATACATTAGACACCGTATCTACGTAGAAGTGGTTTCATGTTAGTTTTATTCAGTAATCTACAGGTTTATGTGATACACATATACATTTTGTGTAATTTGTATCAGGATTGTTGTTGATGCAAGTTTTTTAAACATCACCGGATTCAGATGTGGATGCTGATTTTGTCTATTTAAAAATATACAACCTTACCGAAACTGTCTATATGAAAAATATTTCTATTTTCTTTGGTATTGCAACAAAATATTGTTGCAATAATTTTATGACATTTATTAATAAAAGAATCAATCTGTAAAAAAAACATCTGTGTAACTTAATCGTAATAGAATTTTATCAAAGTTATATTATAAAAACAACAGCTGAGCTTCCTTTTTGGCAATAAAATTCTGCAATCAGTTTCCGGAAGGTTTGTAAATTATTCCAGGGTGCCTTTTAGATCAAGTCAGGACTTGAACATCCGCAATGAATATAAGCACCGATTAATAAGGAGGCTGATGCGGATGCGGATATTTTAAGTCATGCCGATTATCCGCGGATGTAGAAGCCGATATTCGCAACAACTATGGTTTATATTACAACAAGCGCTGGGAAATTTCATTTTTCAGTTATTTTAATGAAAATAAAGAAACATAAACTGGATTGATATTCAATTAGGTCTATAGTTCTGTATCAGTAACGTGAAAACTAAGTAACAGAAACGGGAAAACTTAGGAACAGAAACAAAAAAATACAATCCTTTCAAAATACCACATGAGGTGCCGTGTACAAAATAAAAATTATAAACAAAATTATATATGTGAAAAATGTGTAGAGTCAATTTGCCTTCTAAATTTGTCACACTTATTTTAACCTTAACAAACTGATTATCATATTATGACATTGGCAGATGCTCTAAATATTCCCGTTACATTATGTAACAGTTTACAGTATATTATCTTCTAACACAATATACGGTTATCAACAAGCTGTGCCTTAAACGAGGCGTGGGTGAACTAGATTTGTAAACTGGCTAGGACTGTTTTCAGACAGGTGTTACCAACATACTGCAAGGAAGTTTGTTAGACGGGAATGCAGTCGGTTTTAAAGGTAAATGCATAGTTTTACGGAACATAGTTAGGCGTGTGTGTTTGTGTTGAATACAAGCAACCGGCAACAAGAAGCGAATATTCTGGCGACAGTGTCCAACTGCCACAACCTGTCGATTTCGTATCAATTTGAGGACCTCCGTAGTTGAGAGGCTTGTACATTGGTTTTCTTGATATCTCTGAGGTTCCAAGTCTGATCCCCGGTCTGGTCAATGCGCATGCATGCAAAAATAGTAAGTTGTTGCCATGTCACGAATATGTCAAAAGTTTAAAATAATATGCACACATTCTTTGTCAAATAAGTTAAGTGGTCAAATTTATTGAGATTTATATGTAAAGAAGTCATTAATTGAATTGATATTTTTATGTCTTAGCCATGACATCAGCTTACGTTTACATAGAAGATTATTATTTATCATTTTTATATCAGAGAGTAATTCGTTATATATCGTCACACACATAGTCCTGCACTGTTTCTTGTAGTAGTTGGGTATTACAAACTAATCTATCTGGGCCCCTTACTTACATTGTGAATGTCTCGTGTTTTTTTTAAAGTTTATTTTTATTGTTTATAAAATTGGATATATATTGGATGGTCTCCGCGCGGCAGTCGCGCGGCATGAACGCGATGAAATTGGTGTCGAATAAACGCGCCCTTATTGTTTTGAAACATTGTACATTTTTGAGGTCAGTGAGGTCACTTGGTTACACCATCGGTTAGGTGATTGATCACTACTCGGGTCGGGATGGCGCAAGACATAGCATAGAGGTCGTGTGTGGTGTTCCGCAGGGGTCTGTCCTTGGACCACTCCTTTGGAATCTCGCATACGACACTGTCTTGAGGGTCGCACTCCCCCCCTGGCTTGCATCTGGTGTGTTATGCTGATAACACCCTGGTGCTCGCCGGAGGGGAGGACTTCGAGAGGACCATCCAGCTCGCTGAGCTCGGAGTTTCTCGCGTCGTCTAAAAAATCGAGGAGCTGGGTTTGTGAGTAGAGCCTCAGAAAACTGAGGCGCTGTGGTTCCACAAACTCCCGCGAGGGAGAGAACCGCCCAGGTTCTCGTTTCGCGTTGGTGACGTTGACGTCCAGGTGGGGCAGTACTTAAAATACTCCTCATCCTGGACGGTTGCTAGGAGAAAAATTGCTTCAGAACCATAAGTTGGAAAACATGATACCAAATAACCACTAGAATTGAAGTGGTTGTCCCTGGCTCACTGCCAACAGCGGTATAAACTTGCAGCTGTCGGTGACATTGTCATTATTCAGTTAACCACGTTATATAAATTAGAGTTGTGTTACTGCTACATTAAATTTGTGTGGGAGTTGTTGGGAATAATGTTACCACTGAGACAAAGATATAGATTAAGAAATTTACTTATATGATCTAGCGTAACGGTCGCTTAGACTGCCTTTCCACCAGAGATGTGCGAGGTAGCGAGGCGGCGCTAGTATGTGTAGCGGCGCTGTGAAACGGTGTGATATTTTCCACCAAAGCTGTGCGAGGATGCG